AATTAGCATTTTGAATGTCCTGTCTGCATTCCTCCTAGCCTCTCTCTGCTCAGGTTTTGGAAAATAGATCTTTCAAATGCAATTGCAGTACCCAAGGAAATTCCTCCCACCCACACCACCAGTGCTCATCCTGTGGGCACCCCCTAGTCAGTAGTTTAAGACCATTCTGGATGAATGCAAATGCTTGATTCAATTTTTCCAAATCCCAATCAACTAGTTACACTTTTCATTGTATGCAATCTTCCCGACATTGCAGTAAAGCAGTCTAGATGGCTGGAGAAAGGCAAAAGAACCCTGGTTGTGATTATTTTTTTCTAACAAAATGGAATTAAAAGAGGAGAAAACCTAGTAGTATTTTAGCCTGGTACTTTTAGCATCCCCAACTTTTAAGATTATAAATTCACAATAGTGAAAACCCTAGTGACAACTTTTAAATAAAATACTGGATAGCTGGGCACAGTGGCTCACACCTGTAGTCCCGGCACTTTGGGAGACCAAGGCAGGTAGATCACTTGAGGTCAAAAGTTCAAGACCAACATGGTAAAACCCCGTCTCTATATAAATACAAAAAATTAGCTGGGCGTGGTGGTGCATGCCTGTAATCCCAGCTATTAGGGAGGCTGAGGCAGGAGAATCACTTGAACCCAGGAGGCAGAGGTTACAGTGAGCTGAGATCATGCCACTGCACTTCAGCCTGGGCAAGGGAGTGAGACTCCATCTCAAAAAATAAATAAATAAAATACTACATAATTACATGCTATATTAAATTAATCATATGCTCACAATTTTAGCTTGGATTTGTTTTGCAGCTGATTTGATGCTGTCTGAAAATCAAGATCAAGCAGGTGATGAAAACTATACATTTTGAACATGCATTAGGTAACCAGGGGGCAACATGGTAGGGACTAATAAGGTCAGCAACTCAGGGAAATTAGCCTATTCATCTGATATACTCGGCCTCCATAAAACTGCCATGGATTCAAACTGTGCTCAGATATAATACAACTTCTTCAATGCTGCTTTATAAATCTGATTGAAAACTTTTAAGGAGTCAAGATGCTAAACACCCTAACAAAAGCAAAAACAAAACTATGGCCTATGTGGTATCATGTTATTACCACTCTTTATAAAGCACTAAGTACACATAGCTGTTTGGCATTGTCTCTGGAACTACAAAACTTTTAGAATCACAGCATTGTACACCTAAGAGGAATCTTAGAAGATACTGAATTTCGCTCCTCACTTTATAGCTGAGAAGAGTGAGGGGAGGACGGACCATGGGAGTCAGCATTTTCAAGCACCCAGGCATGCTGGGCCAGGTATTTCAAATAGAGTTTCTCATTCTCACAGTCCCAGGCAGGTTGCATCAACCCCCACTTCACAGCTAAGTAAATGCGGATCTACCAGATTGAATAATCTCCCCCAAATAAATTCACTAATGAGGAACAGAAGGAATCCGATGTCAAAGTTAGTGCTCTTCTCAGAGTAATAATTTGCAAAGTGTGGTCCTGGGACCAGCAGCTGGGGCATTCCCTGGACGCTTGTTAGAAAGGCAAATTCCCAGGCCCACCACCCCCACCTCCAGGCCTACTGAATCAGAAACTCTAGGGTGGCACCCAGCAATCAAGTTTTTGCTTTTGTTTTTTTAATAGACAAGGTCTCACTTTGTCACCCAGGCTGGACTGCAGTGGTCCAATAACAACTCACTGCACCCTCGAACTCCTGGGTTCTAGTGATCCTCCTGCCTCAGATTCCCAAGCAGCTCAGACTACAGGCATACACTACTATGCCTGTTTTTTTGTTTTGGTAGAGACAGGGGTCTTGCTGTATTGCCCAGCCTGATCTTGAACTTCTGGGCTCAAGTGATCCTCCTGCCTCAGTCTCCCAAAGCACTGGAATTACAGGCATGAGTCACTGTGTTCTCCCCTCTCTGCCAATAATGTGTATTTAACACAGCGTTCAGGTAATACTGATGCTGTCTGAGAGCCACTGCTCTCCAGCATGTTGTCTCTGAAATTTTACTTGGGAGTATGCATATTTATATATATATATATATAAAACTTAACACTATGCTACTACAAAGGTCAAAATAATTTAGTTTATTGTACTTTATTTTAGAATAATTAAGACAAGGATAGCCTTCAATGACATTTTGCTTTGATGTTACATGATCTGATTGATACTGGATTTCTTCATAAGAAAAATAAATATGAAAACTATTCCAAGTAAGTAAATGGTGGCAAAAACAATCTAAAGAACTGGTTTGAGTCAGGCATGATGGCTCATACCTGTAATCCCAGCACTTTGGGAGGCCAGGGCGGGTGGATTACTTGAGCTCAGGAGTTCAAGAGCAGCCTGGCCAACATGGTGAAACCCCATCTCTACTGAAAACACAAAAATTAGACAATATAGCAAGACCCCATCTCTACCAAAAATACAAAAAACTAGCCAGGAATGGTGGCACATGCCAGTAGTCCCAGCTACTCAGGAGACTCAGGTGGGAGGATGGCTTGAGCTTGGGAGGTTGCAGAAAGATCCTGCCACTGCACTCCAGCTTGGGTGACACAGTGAGACCCCATCTCAAAAAAAAAAAAAAAAGATTTTCACCTCATGTCAAAAATAAGACTCTTGGAAAGAAATCTTCTGCCTGCCTTGCAAGGACCCACTGAAATTAATGGATACTCTCACATGACTGACTTTATTATTAAATACTTGCTGTAATCAAAACTAGGTACAGGAAAATCAAGTAGAGAAATACGGAATGCCTAGCACACAAGGATCTAAGTGAAAGTTAATAAAAGTAGCTCTTCCGAAAGACATCTCATGTAAAATTAAATTTAAAACTAAAAATTTCATGAAGTGACCTGATAAGAGTTTCAATTTAGAAGCTTTACTTTTCTAATTTTAAAATATCATGAATGAAATGGTGTCTTCATCTAGGTGCTTCTCCATCAAAATCCCCAGCTCAAAAATAAAAATCATGTTTGTGTCACCCCTGACTCAAAATTCTCTTATTGGAGATGCTGGCATTTCACATGAACATTCCAGTAAATATGCATATAGAAGGTACTCATGACTTTTGGTTGGTAATTTTTCCTTAAATATATTTCAATTTCACTGTTTGACATTTTCATAGTTAACGTATACTGAATACAGAAATTTTTGTAGGAAAACACTATTTTTTAAATGTAGTAACATTAAAATACTTAAATATCCCCAGTTTATTAAAGGCTCTTAAGATTTAAAGAAAAAATTCCTGTGCACATACAATGTACCTATGAAATACTGTATTATTACTTATTGTACAGGCAAATGAGGCTGTTACTATAAAAAAGGAAATGTAGTGTCTAAAAATTGCAAGTCTATGTGAAAAATGAACCTCAATTTATCTAAATGGGATTTTGGGGACACAGCAGACTATTAAAATAGAACTCAAACTTCAAATTCTGTAAACTGAACATCTCATTAATGCCACTTCACCATTTAAAAAAGTCAGCACACAATGTTAGCTATGTAAGTTTATCTGCAGATGTTACAGGTAATTATTTCTGTTAATTCCTCCTAAAATATTATTTAGTAATAAAGAATATTTCAAAAGGAGAAGAGGGAGAAATGAAGTAAGATCATAACTATAGTTAATACGAAAATAACATTTCATTTATTTGCTAATATGTGGAAAAAAACATTTTCTAATTAATTTCTCGTTTATCCTTCTTTAAAGACATTTTATTTCTTCAACCAGCACACTGAGGATTAGTGCTATGGGTATTACCACAGTGCTTTATGAAAAAACTTGGCTTCCAGAGGAGTCATACCTTGCAACCCCAAATTGGCTCTGCATGATTGATTTTAAAGTGGGCATTAAAATTCTTCTGAACCAGGGCTGTGTACCTGTGAGAACATTCACATTTAACCTTGTGAGCTCACTTCTACAAGAACAATGAACTTATTTGTCAGCTGCCAGGGGAAAAATCAGCTTAATGTAAAGAATTAATTAAACCAGGCTGACAGAAGTCAATATCTCAATGTTTTTAAATTAAAATTTATTTAAAGGAATAAGTATGGGTGCATTACATAAACCTAATGGCTCTCCTAAGCTCCAAAAAGCACTCATTTCAAAAGCATTCACTTTTAAGGCTGCCTCATTTTTCAGCTTTGTTTTGGTTGAGATTCTGACGTTCACCTAACAAAGTCTTTCTGACAAAACAGACTTCCTTCAATCCAGGTCATAATTTGAAACATTATACAATAATGAGATTTAAGTGATGAATAGAAAGAAAAGTAGGAGACTGAAAAGATACCAGAAATTTCTATTTGTTTTTAGATTCAGAAAAATATAATTACAGGCCAACATGGTTCTGATAGACAGGAAGGATGTCAGCAGTTACTTGAATGTAACCCCTTCCCAGCATTTCCAAAGACCTGCAACGTGGTTGTTGTGATCTAAGGGCCTTGTTACCTAGTTTCCAGGCAATCCACAGAATTGAAGCAACCCAGCACAACTTTATTTCGTGAGAAGATGAACCCTTAACTATGAAGGTGCAGAAAGGAAGTCTTCAACTGCTCACTCACCATGGCTACAGTATTCAAATGCAACAATCATTCCGAGAAATAAAACCGTGAGAAAAAGAGAACAGGTGGGCAAGCGAAGCAGCAGTGATTCATACTTTCAGTTAACCAATTGAGTGGTGGTGCTTCCTTCTAAAGAAGTTGTTCTTTGATTTTTTGTTTTAAGAAACAGAAAAGCAGCAGTATACTGGAAGAAGATTGCCTGAAGATCTATCCAGCCTGTTAACTACGGCTTAGTACTTCCAGAATCCTGAGTGACAACACATGACCTGTGTGATGAGAGGAGCACAGAGCACATGAACAACCAAAAGATTCTAAGCTCAGCTTCTTTCTCTATCGCATTTACAGAATAATTTTAAATTTCAGTTTCACCACCACTACTTCAACTATTTTACCCTGTAAATTGCTGAAGGTCTTTGTGAACTATCGAACAGCAAAAACAAAAAGTAGAGGTATCTAGATAATAAACTTCAACCAAAAGTAGTCCTTTAGTAATTAAAATGTTACTTCCTTAAGTTCTTTTTAAAAGAAAATTCCTCAGAAGTCCACATTCTTTACATGCCTTCACCCTGTTGAGCTAAACAGGTCAAAAGTATAATAAACTCAACATTATTTTTAACTTGCGTTATTGGTGGTGTCACATGAGAAAAGAGCTGTTTTTGCCACTTTGGGCTGGATGATTAAAAAAGAGAGAGAGAGAGAGAGCTGTTTGTATTTTAAATTTAATATCATGAACAATTTTTAAAGGTAATAAAGAAGTTCTCAGAATGAAGCAGAAGGAAGGCTAAACTTCATTTTTGACTCATAGTAACACCAAAGCAATTTTAAGAATGTGAATAGGAAGCTAAACACTGCAAACTGAATTCTTAAAAATCAGATTAGTTAAGAAATTTTGAAGAGAACTAAACTATTCACAGAAAACTTGAAAAGAATATTGATTAATCAAAAGCCTGTGAATCCTGGGACACACATTTACTGGTACTATGGTGAACAGAGTCCAGGAGCAGGTGCACAGTGAGCACATGTGCCTAAGTTTAAGAATTGCAATTACGAGTATTTCACATTTAATTTAATCTTAGCAGAGGAACAGTTCAGATGTGATTTTAAAAACAGAATCCCTTCTCGCCTTCCTTCCTTGGTACTTTAACCATTACAAATTTATTCAGGAAAACTAAAATTATTTAAAGAAGAGGCATCTAGTTCTAGAGTAATCTGGCATATTCATATGAGAAAAAATTAGAAATCACTTGATACATCTATAATACACAAATACACATATAAACATTTTATTTTAATAATACTCTTTGTCACTTCAATTTAAATCATTCCATTATGAAAATTTCTTAATTGAAGGGAGACTATTTCTTCAAAACTCTAAATTAAACAGAGCTTTATCAATTAAGTTTACAGCAATATAGCCTTTAGAAATACATATTTCTTCATTTTATAATAATACTTCCCCTTTAAAAATTTGCCATGGTTTGTCACAGATTTAAAATACAAGGCACCTAATGCTATAAAAGAATAATACAGTAAATGTAGTGTAAGTGAATCAGATATTTTCTCAAATATTTATTCTTTTTAAAGTTCCACGAAATTTGCACAAACATGCTTGTTGCATAAATTAAACATTTTTTGTGTGGTTAATTTGCAATATTCAACAAAACCCAAAAATACCATCCATACTTACTACAGGTAGCTTATTTTAGCATTTTACCTGTCAGAAACACTGGTCTATGAACACTTAAGTGATTTCTTGAAAACATTTTTATAATATATTCCAGCATTTAACAAGTATGTGAAAATAAAGTCCCGGAACATTAGGATTTATTCCTTGATTAGTTCAAATGATTTCAACAGCTGAATTCCTTGAGATGTGTAAGGCAAGTTGGTCCTTTGGATGGACTGTAGACTGGAACTTCCTAGAACTGTAGTGATATGTACACAGCTACATAGCAAAGTGCTTCATTATGAAAATGAAGAAAACAGGTATGAGAAAAATATATTTTAGAGTTTCAAAGAACTGAAACTGTTATTTTTCAGACTAGGCACTGAAACATTTTTTCTACAAAAACTTGCCAGAGATTGTCTCTTCGCTGTATAGTTCCATTATCGTGCTAAAAACAAAAACCACAGAAATGTGATTAGATTATAATTTCATAGTTTTAGTTTTCTACAGTTTACATTTTAAAAAGCAAATTATCTTAAAATGAAATACCTATTTTCATGGTATACATACTTAATAACTGGATACTCAAATTTGGAGTACTAAGAACTTATGAATGTGACTTCTATAGCAATGTCAAAAGCTGACATCGACATGAGAGATTGTGTATTAGCAGTTAGTTTTACTCCTGGTATATTCCACCATTACTCCTGCAAAGACAAAGACACTTGCCCAGTCTATTCTACTCTGTTGCAATCCATCTTCTTTAGTCTTCACTCTTTCTTCTTTACCCAGCTCTCACTTCTAAAAATACTGAAACCTTGCTGGATATGGGTGGGTTTAAGTGTGAGTATGAGAACAATGCACAGCATACCCAAGAAAAATAATGCATAAATTACAGCATTAAAAAGCTTTCAAGAATACAAAGTCCTCACTTAATGTCACAGGTTCTAGGAAACTGACTTTAGGTCCCCGAATAACATTGTTTTGTTCAGTGTTGTTACATTATAATGTTGATGCAAAAAAAAAAAAAAATGGTTTTGCTGCAATTTTGCTGAAAGTCACAGTTTATAAGAACCTATTGATGATGTTAAGTGAGGACTTACTATAATTGTGTTTATGGTTTTTTTTAATTTAAAGATGGCACACAAACACATATTTAGTTCCACTTGTTCTCCAAAACCTCACTAAAAAGAAAATAAAGGGTTAAAAAATATATTTTTCAATAGAAGTAAGGTCTCACTATGTTGCCCAGGCTAGTCTCAAACTCCTGAGCTCAAGTGATCCTCCCTCCTCAGCCTCCCAAAATGCTAGGATTACAGGCATGAGTCACTGTGCCCAGCTTGGAATTTTTTTCTTAAAAGGAATAAACCACACGGACAAAAAGAAAAGTAGAGAAATGAGAAAATAACAGCCAACTCTTAGTTAGCAATGGAAAAATAGGACCAGATATCTCTGTAAGGAGGGATGAAGAAACAACTACAAACAGGAAGACTGGTATAATGTCTATAGCAAAAGCAGAGAGACACTCAGATGCCCTCTCTTACTTTTCACAGTTGGCCAAGTGCCTTTTCTCTAACCCAGGAGAAGACTTTAAGGTTTATTCTCCAAAAAGGGTAGTAACAGAAGATCTCTGCATAAGGGAAATACCAGGACAAATCCTACATGGCTCAGTTATAAGTAACAATTTTTTAGTGACAGCAGTATAAACACTGACTACAGATCTATCCAAAATTATGCAATACTATACAGGGATGATGAGGAGGCAGAACTGATATGGAGATAGGAGGCATGTGAGGTGGGAGCAGAGGAGGAGTAAAGCTGAAAATAATCTGTCTTCATTGATCTCAGTGGAAAAGTCAGCAGAAGATGCCTAAAACTGAGAACTCATGGAACAGAAGTCATAAGCATGATACTTAGGGACACAAGAAGGAAAACACCAAAGGAATCAGCTAAGAGTTTAATTTCCTCAGAGTGGGAAGAGAATGAAAGCAGGATGGGCAAGGCAGGGAAGGGCAGGGGTAGCTGCCTTGTACAAAAAGTCTTGGAGAACTAGAGCTTAAACCATGTGCAGTATAAACTAGATTTAAAAACAGCCCACTCAAGAAAAACAGATAACCAGGACCGTTAGCCGTAGGTTAGAAGCAAGTTTACCATGAGGATAATGAAACTTAAACTTTAAGCCCAACATAAGTGTTAACAATTGACAGGAGTTGTACAATGTTCTAGATAGGGAGGGAAAACTCAGTAGCAATCAAGAAACATTTCAATATAAATTGCCTAAAGATGTCTCAGAAAAAGGGGCCTGGATCTTCAGAATTCTAGTAGTTTATTGTGATCTTTCATTCTAAATAATCACTTTTGTACCTGCAAAATATGTATGTTGCATTTAATTCAAGCATCCATTCAGCAAAATGTCATGTACTCTACCATCGAAGACATATAGAAGACACTATTTCTTAAAATGTAAAAAATGGGAAAATATTCCAGAAGCATTATTAAATGACAAAGCAATGTCAGAGAATGAGGATATACACTGTGCCAGTTATGTAAAACACACACATAAGACTAGTATTTTCCAACCAGTATATTGTACACCAGAAAATTACATTTTTCTTACTTTTATCATCAGAGAAAAAATATTTTTCTAAAGCATATTATTAAATAAAATGACCCTTAGCATGAATAAAAATAAGAGTTAAAACTTCCTGATCATTTGAGTCAGGCACTATTGTATATACTTTATATTTACCAAGTATTTACTATTTTAACACCCTTATAAGGGAGGTTCTATTGTAATCCCATTTCACAAATAAGAAAACCAGAGCACCAAGGGATTAAGAACCTTGCATCGGGCCACACAGCTAGTATGTGCAGAAGATAGAATTGGAGCCCAGGCTTTAGCCCCTTTAGCCTTTAAGGCTGTATGGCCTCTCAAACAACTAATTATAAAAATCAATCCTGGCCAGGCGCGGTGGCTCATGCTTGTAATCCCAGCACTCTGGGAGGCTGAGGCGGGCAGATACGAGGTCAGGAGATCGAGACCTGTCTCTTATACACATCTAGATGTGTATAAGAGACAGCTGTACTCCAGCCTGGGCAACAGAGTGAGACTCCATCTCAAAAAAAAAAAAAAATCAATCCTTTGTTTGAATATTACACAAATAAGAACCATATTCAATAGTAAACCCAGCTCACATACAAACCTGGGCTACAGACAACAGCTAACTAGCTCCATCCTCCTGAGAAACACTGTGCATAGAAATGAGACTCTCACACTGTTCGCTGTCTTCTGGAACTCTTGAGGAAAAAAAAAAAGTCAATAATTAAGGAAAGCTTTAGAGCTGAAAAGGAACCTTAAACCTTATTTATTCCATTGGCTGAAGCTATGTGGGCAGGATGCAAGTCAGTGGCAGAACCAACACTAGGATAAAATTTCTCAAGAACTTGTACCAAGTTAGCCGTTTTTGTTTTTTTTAAATAAGAGATAGGGTCTCACTTTTCGTTTTTTAAATAAGAGACAGGGTATCACTCTGTCACCCACGCTAAAGTGTAGTGGTGCTATCATAGTTCACTGCAGCTTTGAATTCCTGGGTTCAAGTGATCCTCCTACCTCAGCCTCCCAAGTAGCTTGGGACTACAGGTATATGCCATCATGTCTGGGTAATTTTTTTTTATTTTCTTAGAGACAGGGTCTTGATATGTTGCTCAGGCTGGTCTCGAGCTCCTAACCTCAAGCAATCCTCCCACCTCAGCCTCCAGAGTCACTGGAATCAAGTTCTTTTCATAGCAAAATATAAAAAGCTTTCATTCTTAAATAGAAAGAAATTAGAAAGAAAAATTGAGGCAATACTATTCTATCACGAATTATGTTCAAACCAATAAAAGTCTTCTATATTTAAGTTTGTTATGGCAAAACAGTAAACCTTTTGGTATTACCTGTGAATCAAAACTTTTTTTAAAAATTGTACTTATTAGGCAGGCAAATCACTTGTGGTCGGGAATTCAAGGCCAGCCTGGCCAACATGGTGAAACCCTGTCTCTACTAAAAATACAAAAATTAGCTGGGCATGGTGGTGTGTGCCTGTGATCCCAGTTACTCAGGAGGCTGAGGCAGAGAATCACTTGAACCCAGGAGGCAGAGGTTGCAGTGAGCTGAGGTCATACCATTACACTCCAGGCTGGACTACAGAGCAAGACTCTGTCAAGAAAGAGAAAAGAAGAAGAAAGAAAGAGAGAAAGAAAAGGAAAGAGAGAAAGAAAGAGAAAGAATCTTATTACCCAAAAGATCTAAACAAATTATTTTATTTTTATCTGCCATAACATATAAGTTATCATCTTTCAATAATTCCTCACAAAATCTCTAAAAGCTAGGCCAGCATGATGCAATTCTCAGTTATCTAGCAAACAGTATTTTAAAAAATGTGTATTGGGACTAAACTTACCTCTGAATTCGATGTTTTCTGCATATAAAAGCAAATATTCTTCTGATTCCCACCATCACAGGATCCCAATTATTATAATGGCATAGGAGAGTTACAATAAAAAATGAAAAAAATACAGGGATAGCTCCTGCAAAAAATAACCAAGAAAACTGCACCTAAAAATAAAAGATAGAGGAAAAAACACACCCACAATTATCATTAAGGCAATTTCCCCCTTCAATGTAAGTTTTCTATTTGTGACAACTAGCAGGAATAAGAACAACGGGAAGACAAAATTAAACACTGACGGTGTATTAAGTGTATTATTATTAAGTAAGAATTCAAGACTTCAACTTACAATTCCATGTACCCAAATTACCAACAACAATAGTTCTTGCTTGGAAAACAGGCTAAAGGAAAGCCAAAAAAACATACTTTCCATTTATAGGCATTGCACACTGAGAGTAGCGATATACAGTATGAAACTTTGGTCCTGCACACCATGTTGCTCATTCCTTTTTCACTGTTTGCTGCCTGGTCTCAAATAGTTCCCTCTTCCTCAATTTCCACAGTCATCTTCAAAAAATGTACATTTTCGTAAAAACTTATAGTTGTGCTATCCTGTGTATAGCTACAGTTCTTATGACAGTACCAAAAACAAATTAAGTGCAAATTTATGACACTCAAAACTAGCAATAAATGAAAAAACCTCAAAATGAAATAATGACTGAGTAAAATAAAGAAAAAAAATAGGAATATTTTTACTAAGGAATATTAGTCAGAGAAGACAGGCAACAAGACAAGCCTCATCAGTGAAGGGCCCTCTGATGTCAGCAAGTGTGATCCTCCAATCCATCATTTATCAGGGTTGTCAAGAAAATAAAAAATATCTGTAAGTAGGGTGGAGGTATTAAAATCAAAAAGAAAAAAAAATAAGAAAAAAATAAACAAGAAAACAAATATATACATAAAAAGAAAATAAAAAATAATGAGATGCCATAAAGTTACCAAAACAAAACTAATTCTTCCCTTTCACTAGTTCACTTTTACCATCTAGACTCAACTAAAGATCAGAAACAATTGTCAAAGAAGCCTACACCGATCAGCTACTGAGACTTAAGTGCAGCACACAGGAGGTTTGCTTTAAAAAAATGATGAAAATAGTAACTTCTATCTGTAAAATAGGGAAGGAAAACTGTGTTTGCCCTCTTTGAGAATTCCAAAAAAAAAAGTCTGGAATCACAGGCAAGACTCCCTCTGGTGGAAAACATATACTATTCCATTTCATAGCACCATTAGTCAGAGTAAAGGGGTTTTGTGAGCATAATGTCTTTTATGAGGGAACTCACAGTGCATAACACAAGAATAATAACTGGCGATTTTTAACATGCAGGCCCTATTTGTATGGTATTCATCCACGGTGACTGAGTCAGCCTGAGAACACCCCAGAAAGAATAGTCATTAAACTAAAAAGTCTTCATTTAGTTATGAAATTACCAATATATTTTAACATATTCCTGGAATATTTGCCAGAATGACTAATAATCAGGAAAAACCATGCTGTATTTAAATTACCCAAGATCAGAAAAGGTATTAAGAAGTTATAAATAATGCAATTAAAAATGTAGCTATAGTTGACAGAATGATTTCATGAATATTCAACTAAAAACCTTCTTTCATAACTGAATCAAAGCAAACTTAATAAAGACAGATAAAGCCCTAGAAGACTTTAGAAGGCAAGTTCGCTTGCAACAATGTAGTTGTGTATATGTTGTCTCATAATAAAAAACTTCTAATTTGATTTCCAACAAGCTAAGACAAAAGAAATGAAGCCACTTATTACAACAAAGAAAATTACCTATGTAAACAAAAAATTGTTTTCTAATTCCTAAATCTATCTGAATATAAAATAGAATATGATCAGGGATGCTTCCTATTATATAAAATAATTATAAATAGACTTAAATAACCAATTTGTTTCAAGCACAATAATGTTAATAAATGCTAACATTTCAGAAGCTATAAATAAATACAGTTAGCTAAGTGAACCTAAAACCCTATAAAAGTAGATTTCTCTTATCATGTTTCTGTCACAGTTCTGGACACACCCTGCTTCTTTTTCCAGATGGAATCTCCCTAACCTCAATCCCAACACCAACGCACAGCCTACTCCTTTAACTGATTGCCCAGTTCTAGATATGAAGACAATCAAGAAAACCAGATCTTTTTCTTGATTGTCTTCATATCTAGAACTCGGCAATCAGTTAAAGTTTAGTTATGTTTTCATAATTAATTGCTTGTACATACATTTTCCCGTTTTGCCTTTATCCTAAAATGCTTTATTAAACAAATTATAACCATTATTATTTGTAATGATAATTATTAAATGACTAATCATTTAATAAATTTAGGTCCCCTGTGACTATTCTCTTAAAAATTCCTGAACATTAACTTGCAATTTTTTTCAATCTACGAAAGCTTATGTTTTTAAAATATCAGTACAATAAAGATGATTTACACAGTAGTCTACGAAAATCCTCTAGCAAGTAGCACTTTCCCAGTTTCACAACCATTTAGGATTACGACCTGAAGATGAAGAAGGACCTAGATATTACTTAAATCTATAAAAGAATGATTTGTAATAATGTGTAATGTTAGTGTTATATAGAATATCCACATTCTATGAAAATGCAAGTTATGTAAGGTAATTAATTCTCAATTAAGGAGAGAATCTCAGTTCTTTAACCATGACAAATAAATAAGAATTTACTGAACCATAAAACAAAGTTAAATATCAGTAAAGAATTGTTTTATAAATAGAGAGGATATATAGCACTAAGCATATTTCGCTTTTATCTTTTTTTTTTTTTTTTTGAGACAGAATCTTGTTCTGTTGCCCAGGCTGGAGTGCAGTGGCATGATCTCAGCTCACTGCAACCTCCATCTCCCAGGTTCAAGTGATTCTCCTGCCTCAGCCTCCCAAGTAGCTGGAATTACAGGTGCACACCACCACACCCAGCTAATTTTTGTATTTTTAGTAGAGTCGGGGTTTCACTATGTTGGCCGGGCTGGTCTCGAACTCCTGACCTCAAGTGATCCAGCTGCCTTGGCCTCCCACGTGCTGGGATAACAGGCATGAGCCATGGTGCCCAGCCACTTTTATCTTAAAAACTGCACAAAGACCTAAAGAAAAATAGCTTTAAAAATTTGACCATTGCTTGTACACATTATAAACCTTTGGGCCTTGAAATATTTCCCTCTTCAAATTATATTAGACTAAAACACACACACACACTTCTATGACTTAGTAGTTGTAGTTAAATGCCTACATCTACTGAACTGTGTGATAAATGGCTATGCTCCATCTTTCAGTGTGGGCAATAGCATACCTCTGTTCTTCCTGCTACACCTAGGAGCACTGAATAAACTCTTCCCTTCTAGGCTGTTGGGAGAAACATCCCAGATTCTCTTTTCTGTGGTGTTAGCATTGCCAATATTATTACAAGAATCCCCGCATCCATACTAGGCCTTCAGAGAAGAGGGATGGGACACCCACTCTGCTGAGTCCAGAGAGAGATGGCTAACATTCACTGCAAACAACATTATTCATGTACTGCTCATATCTTCGGTAGTATCAGCACAGTGTTAAGGAACCTGTGATACGGTTCATCGCAGAAACTAAAATGCTTATATGATAAAATGTGACTTACCAAAGAACATCTGGAACAGAATCAGCTCTAAAACTGGAGAACTACATATGAAGATGATGCCCTTAACTTAGAAATTTAGGGAAAAAAATGGAAAAGCTAAAAATGGAAATTATCTATTTCTTTGGTACTTTTTATATTTCTATGTAGTAAAGCACCTTGGGAGAGAAAGCATCAAGTATTATTTATGTTTGTATCCTTATAATTTAATCACATCTCAACTTTCATTACGTTTGTTTTAATAACATACCTAAAATATCTATGAATAATAGTTTCCTTACCTTTTGCATACACATGTCAGCTATTATGGACAGAGGTATTGTAAGGCTTAGTGCAAGTGTGCCTATCAATGATGAGGTAAGAAAGCAGCCCCTAAAAAAAAGAAAATAGACATTTCTATATTAAAAAAATAAAACAACCAAAGAAAAACACTGAACAAAGACTTTCTTATAATATAGGCTTGTGAGATCAGGAGCAAAGATAAGAGGTTAGGATGGATTGAGACATAAAATATAATAAAGTCATTAAGATGATTCTCAAAGTTTTTCTTCAAATATTAAAAATACAAATATGTAAGTATAAAAAGCTCAAAATATTTTATGCTATTTTCAAGATCTGTTTGCAGATATTCAACTTTGAGTTTATAGCTTATATTTCATTAATTTTTTAAAAAAACTGTTGAACAGTTATTACAGTTTTGTGATGATACGTAGATAACAAAGAAAACAGCAATATTAATGTTGCAGGACAATACTTCACACATAGACTTTAAGGAAGTGATAAGCCAACATGTGATTCTGTCACCAAGCAAAAATATCTCACCTTCATGAACACTAAAATAGTGTGTTATTCTTTTGATTTGGCTTGGCATAAAAAAGAAAGGCTTGAATATTCTTTAAAAATATCTTCTTGTTGTTTTCCATTTTTCTAACAATTGTCCTAACCAAAAGTTAAGTTCTTTAATTTCACCTTGAATTATCAATGTGGGTATGAAATTTTGAAATATCTATCTGCATATAATTTTGTTGAATTGAAAGAAAATATTATACCCAATGGAGACAGATGAGCCATTTATAAAGACTGATAATTTGGGTTTATAAGGAGAAAATGAATTATAAGCCAAGACAAAACCATAATGTATATCGTTAGGACTACAGATCCATGGAAGTTATAGGCAAGTAAAATCTAGCTCAGTATATGTCAGAATTAATAACGCTGTCCTGCAATAAAAGGGGCTATCTCTCAATAAAGTGTCACTAGAAGTACTGAACAGAGGCTGAACAATTAGTCCTTTTTGATGAGGTAAAGGGAATTTAAGTACTTGTGGTTCCCACTACTTAGCTGCTCTGTGAAAAGAGCGTTCGGGGTCAAATATAGCATATGTTCTTGGATATTTGTCACGCAGAGTACTATAATAAAAAACCTGGAAGGTAGAATTATAAAGCCTGTTTGACTTAATCCAGCTTTTAAGGTGGATCCAATTTAGCTGATGGCTAAAGCCTTTTGTCATCTGTTAATAGTTCAGGTTAAAACAATCGAGTATCTAAAATGTATATAATTAAAGATGAAAAAATTAATGAGTTAATGGATTACGATTTTAAAGAATTTTAGATCAGCAAAGGAGTTTAGATAAGAACATAAATCACTACAACACAAAGTAAATCTTCAAGTATTACACAAAAGAGAGTGAATATGGGGGATCCAAGAAAACAGATATTCCTTAACTGGGCAGGGAGGCACAGTAGTATAGGCAGAGCATTAAGGAGGACTCCACAAAACAAGTCCATTTCTGTTGCAGTCTTTCACAAGGGAAAACTAGTTAACCGTTTCAATGGGTATGTAATAAAATTCATTTTATTCATTTATGTTTTATTCATTCTATTTATTTAAGTTTCTATTAAATAAAAATAGGACTAAGTATAAAGCTCTGTTATTTGAAAGGTTTCTCAAACTCCATACATGATACTGTCTTCAAATTATTTTAAGTTTATTATTGCATATCAATATATTGGATATATAGCATATCAAAGTATGTCAACATCTCAAATCAATCAGAGTTTAAGGTTTACATATCTGGCTCACCGATATGAAAGGTCCTGAAAATAAATAAAACAAAAACACCTATGAACAAGCAAACAGATATTCCAAAGCCTCTTAAATAAGCACCATCTCCTGGATTCTCAATTAGAACTCATGCCTTCACACTTGGCATACATAACTCATACATTCGGATATCCATTAGATAATGACTACTTTCATTTGCATAATACTCCACTTTCTAAAACATTTTTACAGATTTAGACCATTCATATTCATTCCTTCATTCAACAAGTATTTACCGAGCTCCTCCTGTGGACAAGGCACTACTCTGGAATGGGCACACAGAAGTTAAAAAACAAAGTCCCTGCTCTAGTGGAGTTAAAGTATTCAGTTTTACGTGTGTTGCAGAATGGGGTGCACAGGAAGGGCCACCAGCAAACAGACAAAATATAAACGCTTAAAATATCCAAAAATTAATCAACTGATAATTAATAATTGGAGAATAAACAGTACATACCACAACCACAGGAACTCTGAGAGTACTGTTCCAATAAGGCCATTAATGATAATGCACATTAATACTACTTTATTGGGAAACTCGAAGTCCTCAAATCCAGTATAATGAAGTAAAAAGAAACCTGGCCATAAGAGCAGCAGATTAAATAAACCTACAAAACCTGAACATGTATAGAAGAAACAAAAGTTAAAATTGTGATTTATTTCTATTCTCCAAGCTTATTAACTCTAAAATCAAAATTAGATTTTGCACAAAAGCACTCTGGGAGATTTCATTAGCTAAACCTTCTGTTGGTTTGTTTTTAAGTCAGTCCTGTGAATAGCTCAAAACCATAAAAAGAAAACTGTCTGAAGCAACTGGTGATCAGTCAGTTCAACTATCCCACTGTATGGGAGCAACTACTGTGGAGTAAACCACTTAGGACAACTCAACAAGAAGGGCTGTTAGCCTTAGCAACTGACAATATAGTGCCCTAGAACTTAAAAGAAATAACTGGTATGTATGTGTTTGTGTATTCAGCCTAAATTAATTTTAAAGAATTGGATGGTTTGCTTTCTGATTCAAGTATTTATGTCCAAAACACTTGTGCTATGCGAGCAGTAATGGAAGAAGTTCCAAAGGAGATAAAACTCCTGGTTCCTGCATTCCCAGACCTCTAGCTAGTTAGTGAGAAAGTTTGTACGCACAAAGAGCTATTCAACATATGAGCAAAGTACAGACTGACCCGTTATTAAGGAAAGCCATCCCACATAGTGGTTAAGTGTGTGCTCGGCAGTCTGACTGCCTGGGTCCAATCCCAGCTCTATCTATCATTGAATAGTAGTGCAAACCTTATACCTCTTTTAAGCCTTAGTTTTCCAATCTATAAACATAAAATAAAATTTAATAATATTTAATTAGGTTGCTGGCAAGATTAAACACATAAAATATAGCATAGTATCTGGCACAGAGTAAGCATTTAATAAAAGCAAATATTACTATAGAAATTAAGTTTATATATGACTATATACATGTGAAAGTAAAGACTATAAAGAAAAAAGATAACAACTGTATAATAAATTTTGTTGTACTTTCTCTGTAGTTTATGTCACAAATTTGCTATATGATTTATGCGGTAACTATATAGCTTTCTTAAAAGAAAATTAAATTACAGTAGATATATAATTGATACTATGTCACCTAAATAATAAACCGGTAATTAGGATGCCTAATTAAATCTTAACAGGGCAGGAGCACCCACTCTCTATCTGATGCTAAAGACTCACAGCCACCCCACTTCTGTGAAGGGAGGGGCAAATAAGTCTGCCTTTCCCAGCAAGTTCCCACCCTCCACCCCACCCCATCTTCTGCAGCTCATGACTAATTGATGGAGGCTTTATGAGGCCGGCCATCATGGTTCAAGGCCCAGACATATTAGCTGCTCTCCCTCTGCTCCCCGCCCTAGCACCTGCAATGAATTGGGCCAAACCTCAGTTATACTTGTGTGCCACATGGTTCTTTCCCCTTCTCTATCTTGCTTCCTTCACTCCAAGTTTTTCCTTCAGTGAACTCCCCACAATAAATCACCTACACAAATTCCCCATCTCATATCCTGTTTTAGGGAGCCCAACTATTATGGTTTGGCTCTGTGTCCCCACCCAAATCTCATCTCGAATTGTAATCCCCATGTGTCAGGGAGGGACCTGGTGGGAGGTGACTGGATCATGGGGGCGGTTCCCCCATGCTGTTCACATCATAGTGAGTTCTTACAAGATTTGATGGTTTTAACGTCTTTGGCAGTTCCCCCTTCACAAGTTCTCTCTCTTTTGCCAGTGTGTAAAACATGCCTTGCTTCCCCTTCACCTTACGCCATGATTGTAAGTTTCCTGAGGCCTCCCCAGCCATGCAGAACTGAGTCAATTAAACCTCTTTTGTTTATAAATTACCCAGTCTCAGGCAGTTCTTTATAGCAGTGGGAAAACAGACTAATACACAACCTTCAGACATCTATTCATTAAAAAAACAACAACAAAAGAACACATATACAGGACACATGACCTAAAATGCTTAAATAACATTACAAAGTTGTTTTAATGAAACACCAAAATGTGGCATTACCAAGAACTGAATCTATTTTCTGGTCCCTGAAGTGCTGAGTCTATGAAATCCCACATAAATTAACATCCTTTGACCTAAAGACAAAAGCCCCAATGACTCCACCTATTCCCTAGACTGCCCAGAATCTGGCACCACACACCTTTCTGTTCTTCCACAAAGCGAAGTTCCAGTACAATCATTCAGATCTACTCACTGCTCCGCGTTAAGCCTCTGCTCAAACTCCCTTGCCTGAAGACCCCCCAATATCCCAATCCTGACTTCTCCGAATCGTGTCTATTCTAAAGCCCAGGGCAGATCAATATTGCTTTACATATCACATCACATATGAACAGGACCAACACAAGCTACATGTCTATATGCACTCTCCCTAATATGAGTAAATTAACCAATTTTTCTTGCAAGTTGTCAACGTTTAAATTTTCAAAAAGTATCACTGACCTAACCACCTACCTCTAACACTAAAATAAACTAGCATTTTATTCCTTTCCAAATAAAATGTTCTATGACTGCCAAATAAAATATCATTAAAATTATCTTTTCTTTTTTAAGAGACAGCATCTTATTCTGTTACCCAGGCTAGGGTGCAGAGACACAATCATAGCTCACTGCAGACTTGAACTCCTGGACTCAAGTGATTCTCCTGCCTCAGCCTCTCAAGTAGCTGGGATTACAGACACATGCAGCCAAACCTGGCTATTAAGCTGTATTTCTTGAATTCTGTATTTAAAAAGAAATTAAGCAATCACTCAGCCCCATGGCTTTTCAAACATTTTATTTTTGTTAGTCTTCAGATACAGGTATTTAAACTATTTTTAGTTTTAAAATAGTCTTTTTTAAAAAAAAAATTAAATAGAAATGTGGTCTCCCTATGTTGACCAGGCTGATCTTAAATCCCTGGCTTCAAGCAATCCTCCTGCCTCAGCCTCTCAAAGTGCTGGGATCACAGGAGTGAGCCACCATGCCCAACCATAAGAAAAATCTTTACTACAAATTAAATTCTAATGCAAAATACTCAACAAAGTAGAGCTGTTCCACAGGTGAAGCAGCAAAGGAGTCCAAGAACTAGACCCCTGCATGCAACTCTATTTCCTTCCAACCATCCCGGGAGCCAATCTATTCCCTAAATCACAGTTTAGAGGCCATTCATCTAGTCCAATTTCCTCATATTCCAGATGTCTATGAGATAAATAAAGTTACAACAGCTGGATTCCAGGTCTCCTGACTCCTTGTAAGCTGCACTTTGAACTCTTATCACTGAGCTTCTTTATCTATTTATATTCAGATATCTTTTGAAAGATAGCTTGTCAATGTGTTCTTCTTCTGCAGTCCTACAGATATCGCAAGTTCTTTCCTGAACTGATGTTAGGCAAAGGAAAATTTATAAACCATATCTAGAAACTATAATTGGGTAATTTGAGAAGGAATCTATGTTATAAAAGTGTCTGTGTCTTAAAGATAAAATGCAAATGAAAACCCTTTAAATGGCCCACAATTTTTAATGTAAATAAGTACATAGACTGTGAGAGCATTAAACATATAATTTGGGGGCAGTCTCCCCAATCCTTTGCTAACTATTCAAAACTGGCAAAATGTAAAATACAGCAGGTAAACTCTCATATGCTTGTAAGAGCATAACTCTGTCATATCGCTGAGATAAATATCTGACTTGCAGTCTGAAGACATCAATTTGAAAAAAAGTGTTAGGAGTTTCTGTCACACACTAGGGAGATGGGCATTCCCTCATAGGTACACAACCATGCAGGATAAAGTAAACATTGGGATTGGCCTTCATAATCTTTAAATGGTTTTGAAGAATCATATGGAAGAAAAAAAAAAAGGGTTCCCTATTCCGTCCAAAAAAACAAAAGCAAAACCCTGTGTTAGACATTTACAGTAAATAGCCTCACAAGTTAAACATATTCTTACCAAAGAACATTGGAATATCCAACTTATCTTCTCTATCTACTTTTCTCTTAATCATAACAATATAGACAGCATAGAGCATGGCTCCAGCAAGAGACCAAATGGAACCTGTAAAAATCAACATGATTTAAAGCAACCACTCATTAATTCATTCAATATACACTTAAAATCCAATAATGTGTCAGATAATATTGCAAGAATATACAAAAGTGAAAAGATATATAATTAGATAAATCACCTTTATATTGATACAAAGATATATAATGAAAAGGTACAGCCTACCCCATCTACGTCTTTTAGTAGTACAGGAAGGAGTTTAGTGTGTTAACAAATAAATGCAAAAGCATTCACCTCAATGATCTGACCAAAACCTATACATATTATAGTAATACAACTAAAAAGTAACACTTTATTTTTAATTTGGAAATGCATGTTTCTTATTTTACCCTACATAAACAATCTTGACACCTGGCATTTTCCAACTTAACAAATGTTTCTTTCCATCACTAAGCTGTTGCTTGTATTGTCTTCCTTACCCCCATATATCATTCTTAATATGTATTGCACTACCACTCCCATCTTAAAGGCTCTGTTAAAGTTTCATTTCTTCCACAAAGCATCCTCTTTCTAATCTGCTGCATTTCCGTTCTGTCTTCTGTTTTAGACAATACTTACTATTGTCAAGTATGGTATTAGTTTAATCCCTAGTAGCTTCATTTTATAAATCTCATATTGTTCCAAATCAAGAACTCCTTGAAAACTACAAACACATAATTTATACTTTTTAATGTTCCAAAATAGCTAACATAATACAGCTCTCACAGTACATGAATAATAAATACTGATTCTCTTCATTAACTCTCTCTCAAAAACATTTAAACCTTTCAAAACAGCTAAATAATGTTCTGCCAAGTGGTCATATTCAATACTTTAATCAATTATTCAAAAGATGAATGTTTTATTACATCTTTTATTATTTTCAAACTTTTTTAAAGCTTTTGTCAACAAAATCTTGCACACACATGCACATACCAAATACATATATTGTTTTATGTATTTGTATACAAAAAGCTGCTCTGGGTGAGAAAGAGGTGAGGAAGTTCAAAGCACAGCTCACTGGGTAGTAGTTAGGAATAATTTAGAAAGCATTGTTCTATTCAATAAACCTCAAATATCTAAAGAAGTATCCAAAGAGAAATAATTAATATAGGTTTATTTTTTATTATGAGGTCTCACTGTGCTGTCCAGACTGGTCTTGAACTCCTGGCCTCAAGCAATCCTCCCACCTTGGCCTCCCAAAGCACTGGGTTAACAGGCATGAGTCACCATGCTCAGCCCAGCTAGGTTCTGTTTATCTTTGTTTTTGTTAAGTCTAAGCAATGGATCAAAAACTAAGTGTTCATCATAGCAGTAACTGTTTCAGACAAGAATCAAGAGGGAATGACAATATTCCTGGGTGATATGACAGCAACAGGAAATTTGTATAGCCTCAAAGAATCCCCAACAAGATGCTTATTACTTACAATGGGAAAAATTAGTAACTTTACACTGGAATAAGGTGGTTAATTTTAACCACCTTAAAATTAACATTACCAGCAACAGGACAAATCAATATCCTGTGCCTGTTGGTAGAATGCACTGCTCAGGAAACAATATCACTTCCATTATATTCTTACCAAAAATGCACAACCTCAATTTAACCAAAGAAAATGTCTGACAAATACAAATTGAGAAACATTCTACAAACCAACTAGGTGGGACCCTACAAAAGTGTCAAGGTCATAAAAGAAGACTGAGAAACAGTTCTGCATTTAAAGGAAACTAAGGAAACATGACAATTAAATGCAATAAATGATCCTAGATCGGAAAAAGAACATTAGTGTAAAAAATGGCAAAATTTGAAAAGGCTTTATAGATAACAGTATTAGAGTCAATGTTAATTCCTGATTTTTATAACTGTATAATAGTTATGTACGTTGTTAACATTTGAAAAATCTGGGTGAAGGCTATGAGAATTCACTAAAATATTTATGCATTTTTTAATATTGTTTCCCAAGGAAAAGTTTAAAAAAACACCTGCTAGTGCCTACACTTTGTACGTGTATCTGTGCGCGTGAGCATGCACATTTGACTTTCTTGTTTACTCTAACAAAAAACTTTCCTGTATACCCTTAACAGAGAGAATGCAGAGTCAAGTACTTACCTATTGTATCTCTTCCAGCAGATTTTTCAGACCCTGACAGGTTTACCAGTACAACACCTCCAATGCTATGAGAATAACAGTCATTAAGGATGAGCTAAACAATTCTGAAAAGGCTAATCATAAAGATAAAAATTATTTATAAGTGATCAAGACTAATCTCAACTTTGGGTAACACTGTCAAATAATTTAGCAATTTCAATAACAATATCTAACAATATCAATATAATATAGTGTTATATTTGTATTAACTCATTTAATCCTCACAAAATGTACAATATTATACCTTATAAGGAAGTATTATTACTGCCATTCCCGTTTTACATGTGAAAACTAATACACAAAGAGGTAAGGTAACTTGACCAAGATCACATAGCCGAGACTGAAACGCAGGCAGTTTTACTCCACAGTCCAGTGCTCTTAAGTGCTATGCTATCAACTGCCTTTCAATTAGGAATGAATTAACCAACTTGTCATCCCTTTCCAATCTTTCTTTTGGATTACAAAAATATATCAAACCCATATAAATCCAGCTATGTAACAGTACTTACTCTTGCTTATTGGTAAAATCTAAATTAACGGTAAAACTATCCTTATGTGCTTAAACAATTTCACTAATCTCATGATTTTAGTGGATAAAAATAAGACTGAATTAAGGTTGTAGAGATATCAGAGGTCATTCATAAACTCAATTGTTATTTTCTGGGCATCTAATATGAGCAAAGCACAGGGTTACAGAAGTGACCAAAACAGATGTGGTTCCTGTCCTCAGGGAACTTACATTGTCTTTCTATTTCTATGAATCTTATAAATTGTAACATGTTTTCAAGTAGATGAGATATTCCTAATTTAAAAAAAAAAAAAGCCTAATTCTCTCACCCTGATCAGAAAGACCAGGGTGGCAGTGGGAGAAGATGAAAGAAAATATGTATTCCCTTATGGAAAGATGTCATCAGAACTTAAATGTAGTCCTTACATTAAATATGCATACCCTTCAATGAAATCATCACAATTTTCTGTAATAATCATTGTTCATATTCAGATTCAGCTATTATTTATTGAGTATCCACAATATATTTAGAAACCAGGGGTTTTGTTTCCATTTAGATGATGATGATTATGATAATGGCTAAATATAGGGAGCACCTCCTGTTGTGTATCACACATTGTTCCAAGCACTTTAGAAGTTCTACTCATTCAATCCTCATAATAATCCTATGAGAGAAATCCTATTATTATCCCCAATATACAGACGAGAAAATTGGCACAGAAATGTAAGGAACTTGCCCAAGATCTCAAAACTAATAATGATGGAGATGGGATTGGATTCCAAGTGGCTTGGCTTGAGGCCACACTCTTGTCTCTCAATTGATGAAATGAGATTTCTTTGCTTAGATTGCCTTCCAGATTGTTGCTATGTAAAATTCTTTTTATATCCTCAGAAATTGAATCTCTTAGTAAAATGCCAATTCAAAGCAAAGTATTAAACAATGTTTAATACATAATTCTTAAGAACATACACTTACACAAAAAATTTCTAAGTAACACTTTTTTTTAAAGGTACAGATAGTAAATATTTTAGGCTTGTGGGCCACATTGTTGCAATTCAACTCTGCCTCTGTAGTGCTAAAATGGCCATAGACAATTTGCAAATAGATGAGAGTAGCTGTGTTTCAATAAAATTTGGATGTGACAGGGCTAAGTAGCATCATGTCCATTTAAAGCCTTCTTTTATCCACATCTTTCTTTGCTCTTACAATATAAACTACCCTGGTGCCACTACCAGAAATTGTGACATTGTATTTTTAAGCAGAGGAAACTAACTATCACAGTATATTCTTACCTTAAAATTACAGCTAATAGTTTAGAAAGGGTAAATCTATCTCCACTGTTACTTGGAAATACTGCAGCAAGGATTAAGGTAAAAAGTCCTATCAGGAGAAAAGAATTTAAAAATGGTACATGAGTTTAAATACTGTCAACATTTTTACTAACAACTTCATTGTTTAAATAAGCAAATTATATACCTAACTTTCAAATTATTTTTGTCGCTCTTAACTAAGAAAATAATTGCAGTTAAGTAATGACTAGACTGAAATGTTTAAAGTTCATGCATAAAATAGCCTCCAAACTAAACCATGTTTATTTCAACAGTACAGATCAAGTACAGTCCTATTTATTTTAAACTAATAGGAAACTTAAATCTTATTCAGAGTAACATGTTGACTTCATCATAATCAAGCTTGTGTCCTGAAGTTGTTTTTATAGCTTCAAAAATACTTTTGTCTTCCAGATTTGAAAAGTGATTCAATCTTAAAAATAAAACACCTATCATAGGGCAAATTATAGTTCTGAAATAAACAATTACATTTTAGCCAAAGGGTCTAGAAAAAGATCTTGGAAAAGTATGTATGAAGGGAAAGGCAACTACAATACAAAAGGCCAGCCTATAAAACTGTAATATATTGTTATATAAAAAAAAATTGTAAATTATTTGAAGGAACATAAATAGCACAGGCTAAGGCATGAAACTACAGTCATGCTTAACAACAGGGATAAATACAGAGAAAATGCGTGTCGTTCGGCAATGTCATCCTTGTGCCACCATCATAGAGCACACTTACACAAACCTAAATGGTATAGCCTACTACACAGCGAGGCGATATGCTATAGCCTATTGCTTGTAGGCTACCAAATTGTATAGCATGTTACTGTATTGAATACTCTAGGCAATTGTAACACAGCAGTAAGTATTTGTGTATCCAAACATATTTAAACATAGAAAAGGTACAGTAAAAATATAGTATTATAATCTTATAGGACCACCATTGTATATACAGTCTGTTGTAGACTGAAACATCATATGCGGCACCTGACTATATACAGATTAAAAGGCAGTTATAATAGACTAATGTATATTAGAACTAATATAAGAAGCTATAACGAGATAAAAATGCTGTATATGTACACACATATACACCAGAAATATATACACTGATTTATAATGCAGAGTTTTAAAGACAAATTTCTTACCAGAAGTTGAAGATAAAATATTAACTATAGCAACTTGTGTGTCTGAAAGTGCTTCTTGATATGACAAATTTGCCAAAAACCACTAAAGGAAAAGAAAACCAAAGTGAACCCTAATGAAAGACATGTTTACATCTGTCATTACAATTCAGAATTCCCTCTTTTGTTCTCCTCCTAAACACTGTTCTCACAAGATGTTTTAAAAGCTGCTTTGTATTGAAAAAATCACAGGCTCCCAAAAAAGACAAACATTTATAATCAGACCTAAGACCCCGCTACCCAGTTTCCCTTAAAATTTAACCATAGTTGGTTAACAATTAGCATTCAGATTTTTCTTTTTTTTTTTAATGAGAGTAAAATCAAGTATCAAATCAATTTAAAAATTTGCTTTATCTAGGCTGGGCGTAGTGGCTCATGCCTGTAATCCCAGCATTTTGGGAGGCTGAGGTGGGTGGATTGCTTGAGCCCAGAAAGACCAGCCTGGGCAACACA